CGAAAATGCGCGTGCCAAACCTATGATCATCGAGAACATTTGGCTGCCCCTCCCATCCGCGGGAAGCCAGACGAAGACAGAGCTCAAGTTTTGAAATGCCGTTCCCGGCCTCTGCGCACGCAGCAAGTGCAGTGCGACCACCCCCTAGCACGCAAGACTGCATGGGATGCAGGCTTGAAGGATTCACCTGCAACTCGGGATCCATGAGCTGATCATCGTAGGTCGTAGTGACAACCCCTGCATCTTCCAAGAACGGGACTATAGCCATCCTCAACCCTGCCATAGTGAGATCATGCCAGCCAATAGCAAGAGGCGACCCCACCCAAGCCCCACGCTCAACGAGATGATTGACCACAGCAACCGCATCATTAAGAGTAAGATCGTACCCTAACCCATCCAAGTCGAGAGCACCGACGTCCTGGTGCAAGTGGGCAAGAGGGGGTGACAGGGGAAGGCAACAAGAGACACCGCGCGAGGGGCGTGCACTAGGCCTCGCCATGGGGGGGGCCCAACCTTGCCCCACGCCCCCATGAACCCCTGGACCCCCCCGCCTCTCCCTCATCCTCCTCGGCCTCCTCGCCCCATCGCAGTCCTGGCCCGCATGCGAGATAGCAGCGAGAGCGTCCGATATTTTGCCCATCACGGGCCCCGGCATACTGCACACGAGGTTCTTCTCAGCTGGGGGAGCCCACGAAACCAAGGTTCCAACCCGATGAGCAGACGAGAACACGTCGAAATTAATGACTTGAAGGCGAGGCACAGCCGATGACCGCACAATGGGGCCCCCAGCGCCAGGTGCGACCTCCAACCGAGCGATGCCGAAGTCGCCCGAGGACCACGCCATGTGCGCGGGACGCAGCACCTTGCGTCTCTGCCTGTTCGTTGACAAGACTTTGAAGAACACATGGGACTGCGCGGCCTCGGCCACGTCTGCTGGCTGGCTCACTGCCAAGCAGAGTAGTCGTACGGTCTCAATAAGGCTGACATCTGCTGGCAAGATCGCGCCTGCTGGCACGGCCGCTCCACCCCCACCGGCCTCGGGCGCCCCGCCCTGCTCGGCCTGCTCGAAGATCTCCTCCCCGCCCCAGCGCCCCTGCAGCGGCGGCCTGCAAAGCGAGAGACACACAGGGCGAGGTGGATAGAGGGGGGAGAGGGGGATGGGGGAGAGGGAGAGAGGCAGACAGACAGGCAGAACGGAACAGAGGGATGGGGCACGTGAGGGCCGAGGCTTCACAGCTGTGCCGACAGCCCACCTCCTCCTTGTCCTGGCCCTCCCCTTCCCCCCATCCTCCTCCTCCTCCGCTCTTCGCCCGTGCGGAAGCCCGCGTCGACGGGGGTGAGAGCGGGGGTCGAGCAACTTGCGGCCCTTTGGACACAGGGGCAAGGGGGTGAGATGCTCATCATTGGCACGCGGCGCAGCCGAACTAGCTTAGCTGTCAACCGAATCCGCATCAGAGCGCGCGGAGTGAGATCTCACGGGCGAGCTCGCCCGTCTTTCCTGCTAGGGCAGCCTTCGCGGAAGGAAGGGGCAGGGGAGGGGCGGTCTTGACCCCCTGAGGGGGGGCGGCTATTCAGTGCGCCACCAATCCACTGCTATGTTCGCATCCTCATTCTATGATCTACCATCCTGTGTGATGCCGTTCCGTTTCTCTCTCGACGTCTCTCCCTGACTTTATCCCCAACCCTCGTTGCATGCCCGTGCCCCCATTACCGCCACCATATCTCTCTCTCTCTCTCTCTCTCTCTCTCTCTCTCTCTCTCTCTCTCTCTCTCTCACTCTCTCACTCTCTCTCTCTCTCTCTCACTCTCGCTCTCTCTCTCTCTACCCCCCATCCTCTCCCCACTGCGCGCGACCCTCCTAACCCGCCCCCGGCGGCGTCCCGAGGAGCGCTCCAAATGCGGGTGGAGTCGTTCATGACGGATTTGAGCATCCCCATGATTGCATTGCGTGTAGGATGAAGTACCACTGCTTTGCAGACAACCGCCCGTTCAACCTGGGACCACCCCTCCTGCGCCACGCTGGCGGATGACATCTCCCGAAACTGGCCGCGAACATGGTAGAGGAAGATAAGGCCCTTCTTCTCGTTTCGCTCCATCTTTGCAAGCCTCCATCTGTCCACAGCTGGAAATATTGGAGATAATACAGCTGACTCCAAATCCCTCTTGCGCCAGCTCGCAATGGCAAACGTCCAGAAGGCATCAGTCTTCAGCAGGGCTGCGTATTCATTCACCTTCAGCCTGCAGTGCACGGTTTGAGGGGTGCAGTTTTTCATCTTGCGTTGGAGCGTGCCGATGTGAGCGTGCGTGCCCTCTACCTTCCGAGTGTGCATGATAGCGAACGCATGCTGTTTGAGCTCCCACGCGACCCGATCCGGGAGAAGGGCTTCGGGGCCCCCCGCAAACAATTGCAAGTCCGCCCTGAGCGGGTTGTCGCCGCCGACCGCCAAGTACACAGATACGCGGCGCAGCGATTTTTGCTTCCCCCCCCGCAACGGCATCGTCCACTTCCTGCAGACATTCTCGAATGGCAGCCTTGCACTGGCTGAGGGTCCAGGTCCCAAGAACGTGACCCAGAGCGGCCAAGAACTTGAACGGAGTGAAACGAAGGTGCACGAATTTCAACCGCCAGTTGTCGCATATCGCATATTTAAGTTGGCCCTGGATCTCAATCAAACGCATGCTCTCAACACGGGGCGCCTTCGAGAGGTACTCAAGGAAATCTTTGACCTGGATGCCACTAAATTAGCACATAGTTTGTCCACGCCCCCGCAGACCAACTCCACCAGGCGGCGGCCTTTCCAGAAACAGTCGCGCGCTACCCTCTTGTATTTCATCAGCCGTTGCTTCCGAGTAAGAGTTCTATCGTTAAGAATGTGCTCGTGGCAGAAGCACCCCTCGGCCCATGTCCCCGAAATCCCCACCGAAGAGCAGACCGATAGCAAAGCCCAAGTTAAGCCTACAAGAGGTTCATACTTCAGCGCCTCCGCAACCCTCTTAATCAGGCCCGAATCGATCTCTGATGCCTCGCCAACGCCTTCGCAAAACTTCCGAACGCTGAAATGCTGGAGCATCAAGGGGAGGACCTCGACGAGATACTTACAGAAACGCTCCACGTATTGCCATTTCCACTCGAAGGTTGCACCCTGCTTGCTCCCCTCACCAATCGGGGCGCCTGAGGTGCCCACAGGCAGGCAGGTTGCCTTGAAGCGGAGGACCACGTCGCGCCTCCCGAAGAAGGTCGAGAGCGCCTGGGCACCCATCGCATGGGAGGCGGATGAGCAGACGCCGCCAGGCACACGAGGGGGGGGCACGTGGGGATGGCAGGTGATGGGGGCCCCAGGAGGAGGAGGAATGGGGAGCAGGAGCAGAGGGGGAGGAGGGGGGAGGATCGTCCGTCGTCGTCATCCTCATCCTGCCCGCACTGAGGGCTACAGCCGGGGCCCGTCGACCCCTTCTCCGAGTTTGCGCGCAGTTGTTGGGAACTGCGCAACAGTCCAATCAGATGGTTCGCACAATCTGGAGTAGGCGCCGCCGTGTCGCTCCGAGCTTGGGGCCATCAGTGCGGCCGGGGGGGGGGGTGACCAGTGCGATTCCCCCCATTCCTTCCCCATCCCATCCTCCATCCCCCTCCTGCTTCCCTCATCCCTCTGTTTTGTTTCGGGGCCAGCCGGGGGGCCGACCCCGCGCCCCCCCATTCGCCCTTCCGCGGGACAG